AATCTTTATTTTAGGGTATAAATATTAAGATCTGAATGATTCAAAGCAATAATCTATAGTTTGATATAAAGAAATCAATACTTAGGCATACCAACAAACAATCATGCCTTTCAAAATAAAAATGCTAAAGAATGCTATCCCTACAAAATCATATAGCCTTGTCATGCTCCATCTTCTTAACATAAAATACAAATCATGTACAACCCCGATGACAAGCCAAGCAATTGGTTCATACTTTTTAATGCGCTTCAGCTTTTTCAACCCCCACGCAATACATGAGCATGAGCCATGGATATATCACTATGGGTGGAATAGAATGTGCTGATAGAGATTAATAAGGGGAAGACAAAAAAGAAAGATATTCTCACATTGATGCGGCTAATCAACAGGCTATGGAGATGCCCATCAATTGATGGCAATGCGAGGAGTAGGGATTGCCATGCAACGTATGCACTAAGAGATATAAGTGTATGAAAGCTTAAACTGAAAACTAAGTGGGTGTGCATCCAACTTGCTTGCTCATGAAGACCTCGGGCATTTGAGGAAGCCCATCATCTGATATACAAGCCAAGTTTTATAATGAAAATTTCCCCTAGTATATGAAAGTGACAACATAGGAGACTTTCTATATGAAAAACATGGTGCTACTTTGAAGCACAAGTATGGAAAGGATAGTAACATTGTCCCTTCTCTCTTTTTCTCTCATTTTTTTGTTGGGCTCTTTTTGGCCTGTCTTTTTTCTTTTTCTTTTATTTCCTCACTGGGACAATGCTCTAATAATGTTGATCATCACACTTCTATTTACTTACAACTCGATAAAACTGAAACATATGAATCTATATGAATGCCTCTAGTAGTGTACCATGATGTGCAATGATACTAGCGTAACATGTATGATAATGATGAATGGTGCTGAGCCACAAATACTATGTCAGCTATATGACCATGCAAAGCAATATGACAATGAAGGTGCATGTCATAATAACAGAACGATGGAAGTTGCATGACAATATATCTTGGAATGTCTATGGAAATGCCATGATAGGTAGGTACGCTGGCTGTTTTGAGGAAGATATAAGGAGGCTTATGCGTGATAGAGTGTATCATATCACGGGGTTTAGATGCACCGACGAAGTTTGCACCGACTCTTGAGGTGAGAAAGGGCAATGCACGTTATCGAAGAGGCTAGCAAATTGTGTAAAGGTGAGAGTGTGTATAATCCATGGACTCATACTAGTCATAAAGAACTCATATACTTATTGCGAAAGTTTATTAGCCCTCGAAGCAAAGTACAACTATGCATGCCCCTAGGGGGAGGTTGGTAGGAGTTAACCATCGCGCACCCCCGACCCTCACGCAAAGGAAGACACCCAATAATAAATCGTGCTCCAAGTTCTTAGCATAACTAGAGACTATACGTGCATCCTTCGGGAATCACAAACCTTAACACCAATATTCTAGCTAAACCACAATTATTCACTGGTACCTCCCACATATTACCATCTCAATATCGCAAAACTATTGCAAGAAATGAAACTTATCATATTCAGTGATCTACATGAAAGTTTTTATTATATCCCTCTTGAATACCTATCATATTAGGACCAGTTTCATAACACATGCATATTGCCATTATTATTTATGAGAGTGCAACTATTTCTTTAAAATATAACCATTGTTGTGCTCTAAAAGATATAAGTGAAGCACTAGAGCAACTCCCTAGCTCAAAAGATATAAGTGAAGCACATAGAGTGTTGTAACAAATCACGAATAAATGTGTGTCCTTCTCAAAAGGTGTGTGCAGCAAACAATGATTGTGGCAAACTAAAATAAAACAAAGCAAATACCACTATAATACAAGACGCTCCAAGCAAAACTCATATCATGTGATGAATAAAAATATAGATCAAGTAATATACCGATGGATGCTTGGTTCTCCTTGAATATTACCTTGGGGTTCCTTTGGCATCCCCAATCTTAGGGTCTTGCCGCTCCTTATTCCTTCATCCATCGTAATCTCACCCAAAACATGAAAACTTCAGCACACAAAACTCAACAGAAACCTCGTGGGATCCGTTAGTATAACAAGGAAATCATAAACTTTAGGTACTGTTATAAACTCATTCATATTGTATTATTGCATAATACCTACTATATTCTAACTTTTCCATGACTTATACCCCCCGATATAATCCATAGCATCATTAAAGCAAGCAAACTATGCAACAAAAATAGAATGGATCAAAAACAGAATAATCTATATTGATCTGAACAAACGCAATACTTCTGTGACTCCAAAAGGTGGCCATGCGGCTCTAGCACTCCATTTGCCCTGGGAAGCCCATCAAGTGGGCCCGCGACTCTAGCTCTGATACCAATTGTTCGGTCTCATGCCCAGCTCCCAACATCCGGTCGTTGTTCAGACATTTTTTATGTGCATTAGACACACCACTACTACTAGTAGATAGCCCACTACATCCTAAAAGACTAGCCTAAAGGGAGTGTGGAACTCTCCCATATAAGATGGTCCAAACATCCACCCGTAACCGAGGTAGGACTAAAGTCACTAGCAACGCCCAATGGCCAATAGTCTATAAGATATTTTTTGCGTGGCAGTTCAAGTTGGTTGCCACCCACTTGAAATATTTTTTGCACAAATGAGCAAACCATTGGCTAACTTTTCATGTGGGACTTGGTAATACGAACTTGATTGGGATTCACACATATGGACTAGATTTGCCAATTTCAGTGTTGAGAACAAATCTAACAGTGCAACCAGTATATCTGGTTCAACATGCATACTTGGAGGTTGGTTACAACAGTTGTTCTGACAAGGTCAAACAATTTTAGTGTAGGCATGTGCTTGAGACAGACTCCATTGCTCATGTTGTTGAAGAAACACTTTTAACTGTCAGGGAGATGTTCATCTACTGGACAATATAAGAAGAAAACTTATGTTTCAATCTTCAAAGTTGGACAACTTTCTTTTGGCAAATTCAGAGTTGGACAACTGATATACATTAGAAGCCACAATATGCGTTTTTCAATTCTAAAATGCACTCCCATGACATTCTCGCCCCCTAAAATGTGACAATATGTGATGTCACATTTTAGATGGACGAAACGTACAAGAGGGAGGCCGTCGATAAAAAATGCATTAGGCCGATGCCTTCTCCTTCCTCCATTTCTTTGATTTGCCATCTCGTGTTTTGTTGTTCCTATCCCAAACTTTGATTCTTCTATTACTCATCCACGTTCTCTTTTTATATTTCGGGTGTATTGTTGTGTTCTCAACCCAATCATATCCTGGGACATGACACCTTTGCTTTCTCCTACAAACCTCTAAGCCTCAGGTACGTTTTCTTCGCTTGTTCTTTCCATGTTGAGATTCACTTCATGCTCAGCTACTACAACCATGAATGTACTAGATCTAGTGCGGATTTCAAACATGCTCATTTTTTTTATAAAGGGCACTATTATTAACTCAACAAGTAGCATTAGGAGGATACAGATCGAATTAAGCGACACCTAGCCTCTGCATAGCTAGGATGCACATAGCCGTAGGCAACATGATAGAGGCAAAGGTGTTCCGTCTTTTGATGAGATGGTGGCTATCGTTATAGAGGAAGTCGACTTTGACGATCCGACTACGAACGTGCGAGGACGTCGCGCCTTAGCAATCGCTAAACCAACTCCGAGGGGTTATTGACCACGCCGGAGCACGATCAACCTGACCACGAGGGCCTGTTTCCTGCGAGCAAACGAAGAACAAGCAAGAAACTGAAATTGCAATCTGGATATTGTGAATATAAGATGAAAGCTTTATTGATCAAGGTGGGGTTCTGTGACGTCTTGGTCTGGTCGTTGGACACAAACGAAGTACGCGAAGTTGCAGCTATGGCGAACTTTTAATCTAAACAAAACTCTAACTCTTGTTTCCCACACATACGAATTCTAAAAACAACATATACTTAAATATTTCGAAAATACATGGGCCTGACCCAATACTAAGGTGACGCAGCACCTAAAATAGCCTCTAGATGAAATTTATAAAGTGGCATCTTGTATATTTCGTCCAAGGCATCATGCACTACTTATGGTGGCTTCAAAGTCCTGAAATCATCACTTGTAACTCCGTTTTGGATCCCCCTGCGCATGCCATCATCTCCACGCTTGAACTTGTTCCAAGGTTCATCTTTCTTGTCCAAGCTAGGCCCTTCATTTGTAAGCAAGACAAATGTATCCAATTTAGGCAGCATCATATTCTCATGAACATTAGAATCGTTACCAAGAAACAAATGTACCTGATAATTCAATTGGCGTACGCGAGCTCTAGTAATTGGTCCAGTATATATAGCAACAGGGGTTGTGGGTGTAACAATGATATTGATGTCCTCATCACAACAAGTCAAACATAAAAAGAAAATAAAACAACATAATTAGTAAAGTTATATTCAACACTATGCCTATATCAAAGAAGACACTATGCCTATATCAAAGAAGATGGACTGATCCAGAGATTGTGCTGCCACCCATGTTCAGTAAAAGAACTCCATGGCCACCTATTCCAATTGTATACATGTTGCTTGAACAGAGGTTGATATTCCGTTTGGTGCAGCATCGGCCACTTACAGAGACAGTGCATACAACCATGTTCATGCTATCACAAAATAAATTATCATGCGGCAAAAATTTAGAAGTGTCGCATTTTAGAAAGGAGTGATGGTATCAAATGTTGTTGGTCGCGTGCCAAATTTTAAGGTTTTATATCCCCAATAAAACGGGAAAGAGAAAAGGAAAGTTTAGACGGGCGTCTCACAGGTCCCTATTGTAGTACGCTGCCAGATAGCAGCTGGAGCACAAGTTTCTCTTCTTCTTTTCATCAGTCCTGATACCACTAAACAGTTTAATCAGGAAACTAATTACCTATAAGGATGTACATACATATTTGCAGCTGGAGCCGAAGATGTGAAAATGTACACCCCCGACCTTAACTAGGCCTATTGCAAAGTGAGAAGCGATGAAATCCAAATTCCTACTGATACAGCCCCTACAGTCGCAACTGCTTGACTTAGCTCCAACAACACGTTTGGCCTTGGAACGGGCAACTCCTGCCAGTTTGTCCTCCTGCCAGGAAAAAATAAATAAATTATAGGAATATAAGCCAAGAGATGGTCAATTAGGCTAGGCATGAAAGACCACGAATAACAAAATGGTATAAACAAATTTCATGTCAAAAGGTTTAAGAACCAGTACCCCAAGTCAGCTATGACTATGCTAATATTGTCTTGTGACCGCCGATCCTGTAATCATTTTTTTAAAGGAAAATCAGAACATAGTTTATTCTAAGGAGGTTTAATAAATGCTGAATATAAAGGTGGAAAGGAAACAATGAATGGAAGATATGAAGGTGGCAAACAACAATACCAGAGCTTTCTCCCCAAGCGCCTCACAGGCCCGCTACAAACAGATGAGAAATAAGCAAGCATACAAAAATGTACTGTACTGTAAAAGGCATATAGTGAGTATCATTTATTTAAGCAGAGAGAGACTGCATACCTGGACATCTCCATGTTGACATAGTTGATCTCTGACAAAAGCTACAGCTTCAGTGCTGTAGAATACAGTCAGCTATATTGGTCATTATGTTAAACAGATAACTAAAGCTCTTTACGAGGTCGAAAAAAATGACAAACTCAAGGCTGTACAACTAAAAACATGGAGAACAAAAAATGACGCGGATTTACCTTTTAATGTAATCCCAAAGGCCATCGGTTGCTACCAAAACAAATTCCGCATCTGGTCCAAGCTCCACCAGAGATACGTCAGGTGAAGAGATTATTAGATCCCCTTTAAATTTTATTCTGCACATAAGAGGTTGCATAATCATAAAAAGTTAACGTACAGTACACCATCTACCAAAAGTGCTGTAAACCATATGTCGGTAAAACAAACCCTGGATCTGTTGCCTAAACTGTGCACAGGCACGGGAACAAGATCAAGGCTCCAACCCAAGCCAGAGTACAAGGAACCAAAAACTTAAAAGGACCAACATGCAGATCAAGAGGACCAAGATCAAGCCAGAGAATCAAGATACCATCAAAAAAATGCCTCCTTTGCCGGGCAGGCGAGTTCGACAAGGACGGAACCACCTCCAAAAGAAGATGTCCAAGGCATCCCGACAGGGCCTACCGGGACTTGCGAAAGCAGAACCACCTCACCAACTACTCCGCCATGACCCACATCGTCAATCAGTACGGTGTCAAGCCGCAAAATGACTAAGTGGCAGCCATCCATCACATGGCAGCCTCGTTCTACAGATGATGCCTACAGATGACACCCGTCCTGCGACGTGTCAATCAAGCAGGCGTGGAGCTGGCGAGATAGCCCGACAAGGCTTGCCGGGCTCCCAATAACGTGACGATTCGATTGAATATGCATTTAATGCGCCTTGTCAGTCTGCAGAGTTAGGTATGATAGCACTGTTTGCTATCTTATCAGTGCATAATGACTACTTTGGCATTGTGGTAACCCCTTAATCTATAAAAAAAAGACCCATAGCAACCGTAGAGGAGGTTAGAAGGTTGGATAACTCACACCCCCATACGCGCGTAGCCACTGCCGCCCTTGCCAGGCAAGTGTACTATGCTCCACCACCACCACTCTTTCACCATCAATCCACCAAAGCAAGAGTAGGGTTTTACGCCTCACGGCAGCCTGAACCTGGGTAAATTGCTCGTGTGATCCCTGCCGCGCTGCCCCACGCTCGTCTGCTCTTTGTGCAACGCGATGCCCCCCTGCCGAACCAGCAAGGGGCTCTGGCCCCATAGGAGGCCGTGGTTTTCCGCCACATCTTTGACGCGCCAGGTAGGGGGACCACTTGCGCGAACCTGAAGACGTGTGCAGCCCGTCATCTTCATCACCATCTTCGCCTCCGGCGGCGCCATCGACAATGGCGCCCAAGAAGAAATCCGATGCTTCAGCTCATCCATCCACCTCAAAGGCTACGCTGCCCGCAGCTTCTGGTGCCACGGGGGCCGCGGAGGCGCGCGAGGGCATGGACGCTGCTGGGGACGTGGTCGGAGCAGGAGGCATCGTCACCACTTCTCCCGCGGCCGACGTAGGAGCGGAAGGCATCGGAGGAGAACAGCACCAGCAACGCCCCGATGGCTACGCTCCGCAAGATACGGGTGAGGGGGTTACTCCGCCCGCGCCCCCTTCTCTCGCCGACGGGCACAGTTGTAGCGACGGCGCTCGATCCGGGGCGAATCGCCGCCCTCCGGCCGCACCCACCACGACAGTGACCGCCGCACGCACCTCCCCCGGGACGGGTCGACCAAGTTGTTGCGCCCAACAGAGCCGCTAGCCCTCGAGCGCCTTCGCCGCACCCCCCACGCCATCCAGGTGACCGCTCCACAGCAGCGGAGACGCGGTGCTGCCGCCGTTGCAACCGTCAAGAGCCGAGTGACGATGCGATCTACTTCATCATCACCCATGCCAAGCACAGCCGCAGAGGCCATGGCGCGGGCTCAGCTGCTGCTGAGGTTTCCGCCAGCGGCCGAGCAGATGGACGAATGGCGTGCCACCATCCAAAGTCTGCTCGATTTCGCCGAAGGTTGGGGCTCGCAGCGAGCTGGCCCGCCACGGCCTCCCCAAGCGATGACGACGGCTCGAGCTGCTGGCCGTACGGAAGGGGCCACCCCCACGGTGCAATCCCCGCAACGGCAGCCAGCGCGAGCACAGCAGAATCAAGACCCCGACGACGTCTCGATGGCCTCTTCTGACCCTCGAGCACGTCCAGGCCAACGACGAGCCCCAAAGGACAGGCGGAGGGGAGACACGTGCGTCGTTGTTGAACAACGCCGCGACGACCCCCGCCGGACTGATGGGTGCGACGGCCCCGACGTCGACGAACCAACCTCCCCCGGGACGGGTCGACCAAGTTGTTGCGCCCAACAGAGCCGCTGGCCCTCGAGCGCCTTCGCCGCACCCCCCCACGCCATCCAGGTGACCGCTCCACAGCAGCGAAGACGCGGTGCTGCCGCCGTTGCAACCGTCAAGAGCCGAGTGACGATGCGATCTACTTCATCATCACCCATGCCAAGCACAGCCGCAGAGGCCATGGCGCGGGCTCAGCTACTGCTGAGGTTTCCGCCAGCGGCCGAGCAGATGGACGAATGGCGTGCCACCATCCAAAGTCTGCTCGATTTCGCCGAAGGTTGGGGCTCGCAGCGAGCTGGCCCGCCATGGCCTCCCCAAGCGATGACGACGGCTCGAGCTGCTGGCCGTACGAAAGGGGCCACCCCCACGGTGCAATCCCCGCAACGGCAGCCAGCGCGAGCACAGCAGAATCAAGACCCCGACGACGTCTCGATGGCCTCTTCTGACCCTCGAGCACGTCCAGGCCAACGACGAGCCCCAAAGGACAGGCGGAGGGGAGACACGCGCATCGTTGTTGAACAACGCCGCGACGACCCCCGCCGGACTGATGGGTGCGACGGCCCCGACGTCGACGAACCCGCGCTCGGGGTTGGCGGGTGCCTACCTTTCGAGGTTGGGTGCTGTAATGCCCCGGACACACCTGCCGGTGGTCGTTACTCCTGGCGGGATCTAGACTGGCCCCAGAGATCAATACTAGTCTTTTCTGTGCACTTTGTCCTCACTCGTGCGCGCCCGGGAGCAACTTCCCGGTCGGTCACCCATCCTGACACTACTCCAAGCTGAGCACGCTTAACTTTGGAGTTCTGTCCGAATGGGCTCCCAGAAAAAAAGGAATTCCTTATTGATATGAGTAGTCTATCATCCCTAATAAGCCAGGCCATCACATACACCCCCACTCAGAGGAACCGACGTCCTCGTCGGGCCACAGGAACGTTCCCTCTTGGCACATACGTCTATGCATCCAGTCCGGTACATGTACCATGCCGTGTGCCACGACGGGTCACAAACGTCATGAACAACATGACCGCGCACCTGTCCGCAAACATCCGTGTAACTGCGAGGGTCGGCTCTGATACCAACTTGTAACGCCCCGGACACACCCGCCGGTGGTCGTTACTCCTGGCAGGATCTAGACTGGCCCCACAGATCAATACTAGTCTTTTCTGCGCACTTTGTCCTCACTCGTGCGCACCCGGGAGCAACTTCCCGGTCGGTCACCCATCCTGACACTACTCCAAGCTGAGCACGCTTAACTTTGGAGTTCTGTCCGAATGGGCTACCAGAAAAAAAGGAATTCCTTATTAATATGAGTAGTCTATCATCCCTAATAAGCCAGGCCATCACAGGTGCCCTGCCATCACTCGTGAGTTGCGGCGAGTCCGTTCACCGTCCGTTCGCATGTTCAAGCCCGAGATACCTAAGTACGATGGGAGGCATCGCATTCGGGGCAGGCCCGGAGGCTTCGGTCGGTGTAACAAACCCTGTGCACAGGCACGGGAATAAGATCGAGGCTCCAACCCAAACCAGAGTACAAGGAACCAAGAACTTAGAAGGACCAACATGCACATCAAAAGGACCAAGATCAAGCCAGAGAAGCAAGATACCACCAGGAGAAAGGCCTCCCTTGTCGGGCAGGCGAGCTCGACAAGGACGGGGCCACCCCCGGAAGAAGACATCCAAGGCATCCCGGCAGGGCCTGCCCGGACTTGCGAAGGCAGAACCACCTCACCAACTACTCCGCCACGACCCACGTCATCAATCAGTGCGGTGTCAAGCTGCAAAGTGACTAAGTGACAGCCATTCGTCACATGGCAGCCTCTTTTTACAGGGGATGCCTACAGATGACACCCGTCCTTCGACGTGTCAATCAAGCAGGCATGGAGCTGGCGAGATAGCCCGGCAAGGCTTGCCGGGCTCCCAATGACGTGACGAATCGATTGAGAGATGCATTTAATGCGCCCTGTCAGCCTGCAGAATTAGGTATGATAGCACTGTTTGCTATCTTATCAGTGCATAATGACTACTTTGCCATTGTGGTAGCCCCTTAATCTATAAAAGGCCCATAGCAACCATAGAGGAGGTTAGAAGGTTGGATAAATCACACCCCCATACTCGCGTAGCCACTATCGCCCCTGCCGGGCAAGTGTACTACGCTCCACCACCACTCTTCCACCATCAATCCATCAAAGTAGGAGTAGGGTTTTACGCCTCACGGCGGCCCGAACCTGGGTAAATTGCTCGTGTGATCCCTGCCGCGCTGCCCCACGCTCGTCTGCTCTTTGTGCAACGCGACGTCCCCCCTGCCGAACCAGCAAGGGGCCCTCTGGCCCCATAGGTGGTCGTGGTTTCCCGCAACACCACAGTAGGCTCAGCTTTGGCAACATGATATTTCATGACAAGAGTTATGGTTGAAACTATAATATTCATCATCTAACATGGTAATGTCATCTGCGTAATTTGTTCTAGGATATTAAGGTACACAATTGGACATGTCGTTTCTTATTATACCAGTCATCTCATGATGTGCAGCAGCAACCAAAAGCATGTACAGAAGTTGGATAAACATTAAATGTGTGGGAATAAGCAGATAATTATTGAGACTATATAATCCAGGATAGTTTTTAACCATAATAATGGAAATTTTTCATCAAATCCCTGATCATAAAATGATCATTCCAGTTATAACAAGAACTCAAGGTGCAGATAAAATATTTTATCAAATCGAAAAAAGAATGTTTCAACAGAAAGCTTACTCTCCTCAGATAAGCAAATCATTTGTGGTCTAACAAACAATGAGCTACTATAAAATCTCGTGCAAACCTTCAAGCAAGAGTTTTTTTATTGAAACTTTAAGAAAGAGGTTGTGAACAATGAGCCGTATAGAAGCCAAAAAAAACCAAGCAAACCTGCCAAATTTTGGAAACACTACATTTCATCCACCAGGAAAAGAAAAGAGAGCACAGTTATATTTGTCAACAGTGGAGAAAAATGGAAGGTCGTTGGAAAGTAGCTGCACTTAATAGATACGGATTCAACTGCTAATTAGCAACTACTATCAAGCATGGTAGAGAGAGGTTTTGAATAATGAGCAATTACATGTTCAAGATAGAAGCCAAAAAAAATTCCAAGCAAATCTGCCCAATTATGGAAACACTAGATTCATCCACCAGGAAAAAATGAAGGTCTTCTTTGGTTTAGAGGATTTTTGTAGGAATTCCATAGGATATGATTCTTATAGGAAAAATTCCTTTAGAGCCCTTTGGTTTGTAGGAATAGAATCCTATTCCTATGAAGGAATTCTTCCTATCCTTCACATTTCATAGGAAAATAAACATTAGCCTAGACTCAATGGAATAAATCCTATGATGTGAATCAAAGGACATCTCCTTTCATATTCCTACTCCTAGGATTTGAGATGCATGCCATCTCATTTCCTACGACTTTCCTATTCCTATGATTGTTCTACCCTATGAACCAAAGGAGGCCGAAAAGGGAGCACAGTTATATTTGTCAACAGTGGAGAAAAATGGAAGGTCGTTTGAAAGTAGGTGCACTTAATAGATA